GTCCTGCAGGAAAATCCGTGGTATGAGGGACAGGGATGGGGGGGTGGGGGGAGGAGGTGCATGCAGCAGGGGCTGGGGAGAGAGGCAGGCTGGGTGCCCCACTTCTGTCCTCCCATCCCTGTCCCGGGAGACAAATCCACAGCCCCGTCCACTGCTCCCGTGGGAAGACGCCGTGGCGTCAGGAAGTCCCTCCTCCCAGACACCTGGGCTCCCTGCTCAAGGAACAGGGAGGAGAGAAGAAAAGCCAGGGCAGCGCGTGAAGTTCCAGAACGTTCTTTAATGAAAAGATCTTTGGCAAGGGGAGGCCTGGCTGGGAGCCCCGGCGGGGGCTCGGCCTCAGCGGCGGCTGCCACTCACATGGTGGTGATGGAGCAGATCGTCTCCGTCCTCGTCCTCGTCGTCCTCGACCACGGTCACTGAGCGCACCAGCTTGCGCATGGCCACCTCCTGCGGGGACACGGGGCCAGGCCCCAGGGTTAGCGGGTCGGGGCAGGAGCGGGGTGGTGTATCCTCTCGCAGTGGCCACCAAAGAGCCTTTCCCACGGTGTGCCCTTTGTCTGGCCTGCTGCCGACCTCTGTGGGGTGCAAGCCAAGGAGCCGTTCTCCCCAGAGGGCACTGCCAGGCTCTCTGGGTAGGAGTGTGCTTCTGCCTGTAATGGCCCTCGCTGCCCACCTTCCTTCCCTCGTGCTGCTGGGGGAGGCATCTTCAGGTGTGAGCACTGGGTGGAGAGTTTGGCGCCGGGGGTTGCAGCGGAGGGAGACTTAGGGCGAAGTGGCCTTGAACTGGCTCCCTGGGGTTGGGTGCCCCCGGCTCCAGTACTGCCCACCAAGGGGGGGCCCTGTCCAGCCCTGTGCCGGCCCGCGGCACACTCACCTCCCCGGTGGAGTTGATGAGAGCCGTGCGCAGGCTGTTCCCGCAGCCCCAGGTGTTCTGTGCCTTCCACACCAGGTCGGTAGGGGGGCTGTGGGTGGCCCCGGCTCCTGCAGCCCAGATCTGGAGGGGGGCAGGGTTAGAGAAGGTGCTCAGTCCGGCGTGCCCAACCTCAGGCCGACCCCTCCCCCACCCAACCCGCCCCAGGGTCCCAAACGCCTGCCACTCACCGTCACCACCTGCCCGGCCTTCAGGGTGAACTTTGGTGGGAAGCGGTAGGTCAGTAAGGGGTCAT